TGTTCCTTCAAGAACTTTTGGCTCCCAGAAGAACCCGCCCCGCTCTTTTGTGTTCTCGTGTTGAATCGTCAACAACAAGCTGGCGGTGCAGGTGACGCTCTAGTGGTTTCTTTTCAGCCAAGTTATTTCATTCCTACTATGTCCCACCTAGACCAAGTTTTGGAGTTTTGTGTTCGACCTCAGAACGTTTGGCTTGTCTAAGCAGGTTAGTGGTACGTGTAGAAGAAGACATTTCTTGTTGCAGTGGCTCTAGTATGCCCAGCGAGCACCTTCGTTTCCGCGCTATCCTCAATCAAGCGAAGTAGAGCACAGTCCCGTCGACCAATCAATGATGCGTTAGTCTGATTGGCCTTTAGACGGTGGGGCAGCTTCGTTGTGTGCTTTAGTAGTTTCTTATTGAGATAGTAACGGGCGCGCACCTCATAAAGCAATCATCGCCGAGCAGCACAATCAGGAAAACCGAGCTCGCGTGAGACCGACACATTCATCATCGAAGATACTTGTTTTTCGTCATCGGAGCTCTTGATCGGAGTGGTTGGACGACATGGATGTTAGCGCTGATGGTATGCTGGTGGCTTGTCTGGCAGTTCGATGGCATACTCTTTTCATGTCCGTTTATTGCTCTGCTGCTGGGCATTCATTTGCAATTCGACTCTTAATATTATGTTGCACGTGTGCTCTTGTGAGTGCCCTGTTCCGCGACAAGCAAAGTGAGCGGATTTCACCGATATGTAGACTCCGTCCAATTGTGTTCCGTCTTTCTTCCATCATTCTTTTCTCACTCTTATCTCTCACTCACTTTCATCCCTGTCTTCTCTCTCTCTCTCTCTCTCTCTCTCTCTCTCTCTCTCTCTCTCTCTCTCTCTCTCTCTCTCTCTCGTTGCACGGTGGTCCCTGTCTTCCCCCATTCCCTGCAGATCGCGTGTTGGAATTCGTGAGACAGGTGCGCCTCCCGCTCCTCCCTTTCAACCTCCCCTGCTCGCCTCTACTATCTCATTCCGCAACTGCAAAATCTCCTCCCGCCCTGCCCAATATACCTATTCACGATGGACACAACCGCCGTACTCGTTATACCTTCATGACGCATATCTCCTTCGTACCAATCAACCAAATTTTTCACTCCCCATCTCTTTCCCTTGCTTTTCCCAACCCCCCCGCCTTCGCTCCGTACTACTCCATACAACCCGCCTTCCACCCCCGTTTCCCCACCCCTGTCCGTGCCCCACCCAACCCCTCCCGCGCCACTCTCTCCACTCCACCCCACCCCTTCCCAACCAGCAAAACCGGCCAGTGAACGTGCAGAACGTGGCGGACGCGCTGCATAAATACAGCATCAAGAAAACCGCGGTGCAAAAGGCCCTGGATGCAGCAGCGGCGCGTGGGGACGTGGCGGTGAAGGACTATGGCAAGCAGCGCATCTTCATGGCGCGCCAGGACGTGCTGGACGTGCCCGACACCGCCGGGCTGGACGCCCTTAAGGCCGGGAATGAGCAGCTCAGGGAACAGACCATGCGCCTCCGGGAGGACTGCGCTGCCAGGGAGAAAGGTGCGTGGAGGGAGGCTGAGACAGAGGAAGAGAAGCAAGGGGGGAGGTTAGGGAGCTTGGGGGAGGGGCGGGGGGGGGGGGGGGGGGGTCCATTCCGTTACTACTCTTTCACGCATTTTTTACACTTCGCTCCTCGGGTTTGTATTTTTCTCTGGTGTTGTGTGTGCATGGCCCCCAACAGAGGTGCAGGCACTGGAGCAGAGCTTGACTGCGGAGGAGATAGAGCAGCAGAGGCAGAGGATGGAGGAGGAGGTATGTTGGCGTGGTGAGACATGTGCTTGACGTGTGCTTCATGTGTGCTTAACGTGTGTTCCATGTGTGCTTGATGTGTGCTTGAAGTGTGTTCGATGTGTGCTTGACGTGTGTTCGATGTGTGCTTGACGTGTATACCATGTGTGCTTGACATGTGCTGCAGTGCAACGCTGGGCCAACCAGTAGAAATATAATGTTATCAGCATAGTAGAGGTCATACGTAACGCCGAACACTTGATGGCTCTCCCTGTTGCTTTCCAACCCCCCATTTTTCTGCTCGCTCTTCTCTTCCTGGGTATGTCTGGCTGACTCAGAACGCAGCGATGGAGGCGAAGCTGGAGGTGTTGAGGGATGGAGGCAACCACATCTCGTCGTCACAGCGGCAGCAGGCAGAGGAGCAGTACCAGCGATTCATGGGGCTGTGGCGGAAGGTACCATTTAGAAGCAGGCGAGGTAGTCTGGGGACAGGAGCGGGGAGAAGGGGAACAAAAAGTACAAAAAGATTGTAGGAGGAGTGGTTGGGAGACATAAGGGGGTGCACTTTTCTCTTCCTTCTTTTTTTTTTCCGGAGGAGGAAGCAGGATGGGGTTACACTGGATGTATGCATGACCAGAGTTTTTATGTGCATGGTTCATATCATGAGCCTGCATGCGTCGCTCAGTATCGTTTTACTTCTAACAGTCAAATCTCGTATCACGTTTTTCACCTTCATCACATAAACCCCCAACCCAACCCACCCACCCCCACCTCCTCCCTCCTCCTGTTGTTAACGCCCTCCCATTCCTCTCTCTTTTCCTTCCGTTCTCAACAAATTTCTCTGCACCCGTGCCTGGTGGGCTGCATGGAGAGCAGCGCAAGAGGCTGTTCAACACCTTCTTCTCCACGGTTACGGACGGCATGTCGCGCAACGTCAAGGAATTCCAGGTCTTCTTCTGCACCTGCCCATGCTTGCTTGCTTGCCGCTCGTTCTCTTTGCTCTTGCCACTCAAACACTCCGCTGACTTGATTCCGCTCTTGCTCGTGTCCTGTTCCGTATTGCCTCCAACCTTTTTCTTAAGTACGCTTCACCAAGAACCTCTTGCTGCTGCCTTGTCTGGTGAGTTAGCAGTCTGCCTGCCACAACCTTCACCCAATCCACTCCACCTCCCCGTTGCTCATTGCTGTGGGCCTCAGGAGGAGCTTGGGGTGGAAACAGACGAAGACATCGGCGTGAGCATTCAGGAGTGCAGCGACCTCCAGGCGTCCATGGCTGGAGGATCCTCCTCGGCTACCCAAAAGCCTCCCGTGAAGGGCCGGGCAGCAGGCAGTACTGGCAGTGTAAATACCACTGGTACAAAGAAGGCGAATGGAGCTCATGGGTTGGGTGGGATGGTTGGCGCAATAAAAAAAGGGAATGCTACGGTGCAGAAGGGAACCACCAAGGTTCCAGGGGCAGCTTCTAATGGAGCTGGTGCAGGTGGTGGTGCTGCTGCTGTTGTCGGGGCTGCAGGGGATGCTGGAAGGGCTGTGGTTGGGGGAAGTACGGGAAAAAAAGGGGCGACAGGAAGTGGGAAACGAGGTGCGGCAGCTGCAGCTGCTGGTGGGGATGGTGGTGACACAGATGGAGTTGCTGTGGCTGGAGGCGAGGGCGATATGGCGGGAATGTCTTTGCATGGGCCAGAGGAGGTTGAGGTGGGAAAGAAGGGTAAAGCAAGGGCACCCAAGAAATCGAGGAAGAAGTGACAGCTTGTTGCTTGCTTCCGTGTCGTTTTAGGTATTCGCTTCGGGTTGTAGATGTTAGATTTTGTTGTGCATGCTTCGGGTTGCCAGCTGGCATTCAGGAGTGAATGCTTGTTCTTATAGGCTAATCATTCCATAATCCCAGATAATATGGTAGAATCCTCCCCATCTCAATTCCACACCCACCTCTCATGCCCATTTTAGCGTGAGTATTTTCCGGGCCACCCTACTTCCCCTTCAAAACACTGAAACTGTGTGTGGGGCCACTTGTCAGAAACAATACTTGAACGGGGTCTTGCCAAATCGAGCCGGACCTGGGTGGTAACCGCTGAAGCCGAAAACCTAAACGAATTCGCGGATTTCGCTTTTGGTGCCCCCACAACCTCGAGGTCAACCGAACACCGCCGCTGACACAATTTCCTGTCAGCCTAAACAGCCAATCACAGCCATCAGCAACAATCGAGCTGTGTCTCAGACGGTCTGACAAACCAAATTTCAAAGAAGGTGCGAAATCCGAAATGTCAACACCAGCACTGCTGCTACTGTCTGTGGGAGCTCGAGGCCCGAGGGAGCACACACGAAGCAGTCCAACCTCAACTGGCTCGATCTAAATTTGGTTACTATTGCCATTTGTCTAATATAGTGTCTGCTTTGGTCCACATCAAGTAATCTGCTTGCGCCATGGGTGATATTCTTCAGCTCACGCGTATGTGGTCCTCCCCCCGTTATCTTTCACCCTCAGCGCTGTTACTCTCTGCTGCCGAATTTAATAGAGTCCTAACCCTTTTCGGCCTTACTTTCTTTCACAGTTGTTGGGGCGACTGACCTCATTGACGTCAAAGCGTGGGAGATCGGCAAACAGGATCCGTATGCCGTGGTTGTTTACAACGAGTACGAGTTCCGAACGAAGGTTCAGGAAGGCAAGCACCCGCCTTGTATCCCTATATTGTGAAGAGCCACTTAATTTTCTACATTTGGCCTCACGTCCACGTGTCGTAGGTGGCCGAGTAGCAACCAGACAAGTTAACGTTCGGTTTTGACGGCGTTGTGAACAGATGCGGGAAAAAATCCCGTTTTCAACGAAACATTCTCCTTCCCCTTGAGCACCAACCCGACGATCAGCATTACAATATTCCATGACAGGAAGAAGCACGACGACGTCATCGGAGTTGGAAAGTAAGGATTTCCTTGCACTTCCTTGCCTTGCTCCACGCCGTGTTTTTTGTTTTGTTTTTTTTACCATTCAGTTGCTTAATCGGAATTGGTCAAAGGCACTCACTGCGGCTCATCCGACTACCAGGTTGGCGTTTGGAAGCGCGTTTGCCACCGGATATGCGCACGAGAAGCTCCCGCTGTTCACCACGGAAGGCAGGTAGGACGCTTCCGCTACATTGTTTTCTCAAGAGTTATTACTTGTAAATAGTAACTTGCGTTGGTTGCTGTGGCTCGTTGTTTCAGGCAGCAAGGCTTCCTCGAGGTCGTGATGAGGCTCCCTGCAGTGGTAAGGCGCCCTTACTCGCCCCCCCCCTCCCCTTCTCCCTCCGATCCCACCCTTCTTCCCCTCCCTCCGCCCCTCGCATCCCTTTTTCTCGCTCGCTCGCTTTTCGTACATGCACACAACTCCCACACACACACACACACACGCACACGCACACGCACGTATGCACGCACTCATTCACTCACTCACACTCGCGCATGCACGCACGCCCGCACTCACTCACTCACTCACTCACCGATGCACGCACGTAGTCACGGACATGTACTCACCCCAACCCAGTATTGCCCTTGGTCCTGTTAATTCACTCCAGATTGAACGGATTCAGGCACAGCTGGCTGCAGCAGAGGCTGCACGGCGGATGGAGGAGATGAGAATCAGCGAGGCCAAGGCAGCATACGCGGCCAAGCTGAAAGACGCGTTGAAATACCGCAAGCAGCAGGCAGCCGCAAAGGCAGATGCGCAGCAGGAAGTCATGGACGGGTCTCTGCTCTCCCTCAACAACGCTTTCTCCTACGCCATGGCTGATCATTCTTCAAGGACTAATACTGCCAAGGCTGCGTTCCTGGGCGCCGATGCTGCTAGTGCTGAGCAGCTCAAGGCTGCTCTTGTTGTGGATGAGCCGGGGTTTTATGCCAAGCTGTGCAGGGAGACTGAGGGTGAAGAGGAATTCAGGCCGGAGATTGACGCCTACACTGGGGTTGTTTTTGCTGCAGCGCGCAAGCGGTATGGTGCAGTAGAGAAGGCCAAGGCAGAGTTCCAAGCAGAAGTTGAGGAGGCTGTAACGAAATATTACAGCAAGCTGCAGAGCATCCAGAGTGGATTTGAAAAGGAGGCAGGGGAGGCGTCCAAGGAGTATATGAAAGAAGCCCGGACAAAGATATTCTGGAGGGAGGAGGCTCAAGCAGAAGCTGATGTTGCAGCTTATAAGCCTCCTCTCTAGATGGCCGTCTATATTGCTAGTATAGAGCCGTGCTCAAGCCTGCTCATTACAATTGCAAGGGTGAGTATGTTGACTAAACGATGGGTACAGGGATGTAAATGTGGCTCTAGCAGTGCCATCTGTGGTATGGTGTAAACAGAGCTGGTATAGGAAGATATGAAAACTGTGGTACGATTGTTCACTTTGGCTGGACTGTACGCAGAAGGAATATGTTATTTAGTACCACACTTCCTAAATATGTTGCAGCAATTCACTAGTTTACGGTATATCCTTGTTACGGGTGCAATGAATCAAAGTAGCGAGGATTGCACTAAGGTGTCAAACGAGTACAAAATGTGAGCGAAGGCATGAGCGAACATTTATATGCGAAACCTGCAAACGGTAACGCGGTGCGTGCGAGCTAGCTAGTGCTACGCTGGAGCGAGGCTCGGGCTAGTCCCGAAGCGTAGGCCGACACGGACAGGCCAGCAGTGCGAGGTTTGGTGAAACAGTGCGCGCGAAGCAGGGTTCTCGTTATCAGACCAATTTGGTCTGATGGTCTGAGTTTAAGACTTGATTTTTAGTATTCATCTTAATCCTAAGATTTTGTATTTGTTCTCATCTGATCAGTAAGATTTGACTTTTAGGTTCGTATGATTTTTCCAGACGTGTAGAATTCTTCATCTGAGAACACAGATATCGAGTTCGGTTTCGTCTGAAACCGACATCTTGACCCACTAGGCCATATGCCCAGTGGACCAGAGGATAGGACCACAGGTACAGCCATTTGTTGCCCTGAATGCGCACGCGCATTCATTACGCGTGTCATGTAATGAATGCGCGTAATGAATGCGCGTAATGAATGCGCGTAATGAATGCGCGCATTCATTATGGCAGCCTCGCTGCCAGGAGTTTGTCGTGTGGCTGGCTGTCGGCGCCGACGCCAGCCATAGCCACGGCAACGCGTGGTCCCGTTGTGCCACAGCCACAGTAGGTTGACTTTTAACAGGAAAAAAAATTTCGTCTTATTTATCAGACTAGAAATATTATTTCAGCTTATAAGGCAGACCACGGAAGTTTCGTCGTCCGACCATAAGACGGGGGAAATTTTTTTCAGGGTACTGTCAGACATCCCCAAAACCTAGCGAGAATCCTGGCGCGAAGTCGGCGAAGCCCCGTTAGCAGTAACGGGCGAACAACGGCTGTTGCTGTACGCGATGTAGTCGGGCTCCGTAAGGAATGCCGAGAAAATTCCTTACACTACCCCCCCCCCCCCCCTCAAGAAGCCCCCTCCGCTACGCGAGTGCGTGTATATCGCGGAATCCCCGGCTCCTTAGGTACACGTGCAGGGCAGGGTGGTTTTCGATGTTGGTCAGGGGCACCCAGCTGTCCTCAATTGGCGTGCGATCCTTCCAGCGAACGAGGAATTCAATCCTCTTGATTCCCGTGGGGTGTCGAATCCGATGGCTCAGGATTTTTTCGGGCTCGATGATCGGCTCCGATGCAGGGCGAGTCATAGATGGCGGGCGGTGGCGAGGCAGTTGGCTTGTGGTTATGATGTAGGGGCGAAGAAAGCTGACATGGAATGAAGGGCTGATGTACTTGTCGGTTGGTAACAGTAGGTGCGCGGTTACTGGCGTGATCATGTGGCTGATTTGGAATGGGCCACAGTAGCGCGGTCGAAGTTTTGGTACGTCGGGCAGTCGCAGATTTTGCGTGTCGAGCAGTACGTAATCCCCTGACTGGTATGTGACTGGGCGGCGGTGGCGGTCAGCGTTGCGCTTAGCGATGACGTTCGCTTTTTTAATTGCTTCCGCGGCTCTGGTGTGGGCAGCTTGTAGAATTTCGGCGAATTGCTGTACACGTGGTGTTGGGTTGTCCGGACTCGGCGTCATGGGCACAGTAGGGTTTAGCCCATAGTTCAGGTAGAAGGGGGACTACTGCGTCGTCGCTGATGTGGCATTGTTGTACGCGAACTCGATCAGCGGCAACTGTTGCTCCCAAATCGTGGGGTCGTCGCACGTGGCACGAATCAACTGCTCCATCGTCTGATTTGTCCGCTCCGTTTGACCGTCGGTCTCGGAGTGGTACGACGAACTGAACTGCAGCCTGGTTCCGAACTGCTCCCAGAGGTTCTTCCAGAAGTTGCTGGTGAACTTCGTGTCCCTGTCGCTGATAATCGCTGCTGGTATCCCGTGCAAGCGAACAACGGCTGCGATGAACAAACGAGCGGTCTCCTCGGCTGAGATCGACTTCTTGCACGCAGCGAAGTGTGCCATCTTCGTCAACCTGTCAACGACGACCATCACCGCGTCGTTACCCCTAGGGTTCGAAGGTAGCCCTGTGACGAAGTCCATGGTAACCTGCTGCCATGCGCGCTCGGGCGGTGGTATCGGCTGCATTTGACCCGCCTGTGAAGAAATGAGGAATGAATGCACTAGCAAACAGGTGGGTACAAGTAGGAAAACCTAAAAGTGTTGTACCCCATATTGTCTACCCCACTACAGCCTACACAGACTATAGCATATATGCGTGACACACCCCCATAGGCAAAGTGGGGGAGAAAAAGAGGTCACAAGACCAGTCAAGCCAAGCAAAGGAGGCTCTAGGTGGATCACAACGTCACCACACATTCCGAGCACAAGTTCAAGGCCACAAGGCTAGTTCACATGCAAGATCATATATAAAGGTAAAGAAGCAAGTGCAGGTATAGAAAGATCACAGTACAAGCAAGGTCAAGAAGTGAGCAAGTGAGGCCAAGTAGGCACAAGACCTAGCATCGTACAGAAGCGCTGATGATCACAAGGCGGAAGTGCCTTGGTAAAGATATCAGCAGTGTTGGCCTGAGAGGCCACGTAAGCAAGGCGCAGCTGACCACGCTGCTGCAGCTCACGAGCAAGGAAGTAGCGAAGAGCAATGTGCTTTGTTCTGTGCTCCAGTCTGTGCTCCCGAAACAAGGCCAGCATGGCCTTCTTGTCTACGTACAAAACTGGAGGAGAACGAGGCAGCTCTCCTAGGTCAGTCAGCAGGTAGGTGAGCCAGCGTAGCTCCTGTGCAGCCATGGCCCCCGCGTAGATCTCAGCCTCACAGCTGGAGCCGAGAACAGAAGACGAGCGGATAGACCGCCACGAAACAGAGTCCGAACCAAGGCTGAAGGTGTAACCCTGTGACGACCGCTGCGTAGCCTGGTCGTCAGCCCAAGAAGCGTCTGCGTGACCTGTGAGGACCACTGAACGTCGCCCTCCAAGCACTAGCCCCATGCTCGACGTACTGCACAAGTAGTGCAACACCCTCTTCGCTGCAGCCATGTGCTCTGGTCAGTGTCTCCTAGGAGCAACATAGCGTGCCAAGATGCTAAGAGGGTATGCAAGGTCAGGTCGTGTGCAGGTCATCAGGTACATGAGGCAGCCAACAAGCTTTGGGTACGGGCCACTCGGCTCTACGGACTCATCCGAAGGCGGAGCTGAGAGCGAGTGGCGAGTAGACAGAGGAGTGGCATGAGGCGAGGAGTATGTGAAGTCGAAGCGCTGAAGGACCTGCTGCACCATGTGTGACAGAGTCAGGGTAATGGTGCGCTGTGCTCTGTCTCGGGTGATCTGCAAGCCAAGGTAGCTGCGCAGTTCACCCAGGTCTGTGCACGTGTGTCTCTTCTGCAGCTCCGACTTCACGTGGGGGAGTCCAGCAGTGTCAACTGTGGCAAAGACCAAGTCGTCGACGTACACGAGGATGTAGAACGGCGGCAAAGAGGTGTCGGTGCATAGAAACAGCGACGAGTAGGCAGTAGAAGGAGCAAACCCAAGAGCCGCAAGTGTAGTCCTCAGTGTGTCCTGCCACTCACAGGGCGCCTGACGGAGACCGTAGATTGGCCGCCGGAGGCTCCACTGGGTACCAAGGGGAAACGACCCAGTGAAGGCAGGTGGGCGGCGCAGCTAGATCTCCTCGTGCAGGCTGCCCTGCAGGAAAGCAGTGCTGAAGTCAAGAGAGTGAAGGTCGTAGTCGCGCTGAGCGGCTATGTGCAGCAGCACCCGAAGAGTGGTCATCTTCGGGGTGGGAGAGAAGGTCTGAAAGTAGTCAACTCCCTGCCGCTGACTGAAGCCTCGAGCCAGGTAACGCGCCTTGAAGACAGGCGGAGAACCCGGCGGCCGCTTTACCCTAAAAATCCACATGCCACTGACGATGTTGGCCCAAGGTGGGGGAACCTCGTCGATGTAGGTGCCTGTGAACTTCCAGGAAGCCATCTCTGCGTCCATGGCTGAATGCCACTAAGAGGAGTAGGGACCCTCGATCGCCTCTGCGTACGATCGAGTAGTCGGGATGTCTGGTGCATCCGGGTCTCCCTCAGGGGCAATCAGCGTGGGCACGAGATGAGGCAAAGCAGCAGCAAAACACTGGAACTCCTCCTGCCTGTCCTCAAGGACGTCCGTGCTAAGAGCACACTCACCCTCGACGGACGGAGGACAGACAGACTCAGACTCAGCAACAAGACTAGCAGCGTAGTCTAGACGACATCGAGCAGCAAAGTCGACAAGCTGAGCAACTAGGGCCGACGCAGCAGTGGACTCAAAGGAAGGGTCAGTGACAACAGTAGCCAGGAGACGCATGACAGTAGGACTGGCAGCACGAAGAGAGTCAGACTCCGGGTCAGCAAGGACAGAAAGAGAGGACTCTGGAGGAGACAGCAACGGGACACGCAGAGGAGCAGTGGAAGGACGTAGTGCCATCTGGTGTGTGCCTAGGACCGCAGGAGGACGCGGACGCGGAGCACGACGACTAGTGCGAGCAGCACGAACAGGCGACGCAGGACGAGACGCAGGCTCACGACGCTCAGCAAGACCTCCAGTAGGATCAGCGTAGGGAGAAGGAGCAGGTAGGGGGGAGGCGGGCTGTAACTGTGACAGCGACTGGACAGGCTGTGGACACTCTAAGGGAGGAGCAGGACCAGTAGAGGGCGGGAGACCAAGAACGTGCTCAAGGAGCGGAACGAAGTACGGCCGCGGCCGAGCAGCGCCTCCAGAACCTGC